AATGCAAACAAGACCACATGGAAAAAATGGAAAAAATCATAGACCAGCAACGCAATGAAATTGCTGATTTAAATAATGAAATCGACGACTTAAAAAGAGAAAAACAAGAAATCAACGAATGCTTCAACAGAAAACTAAGAGCCACGGTCGATTTTGAAGACGAAGTTTTTATAGCTGAGGAAAACTTTAGAAGTGAAATAGAGCAACAGAAGAACGAAATTTTAAATTTGAAAAAGGAAAATTCGGATCTTTTAAAGCAAATGAATGATTTGTTGAAACAGGCTACGGAATTTAAAGAGGAAATAACAGCATTAAAAAATAGCGCGCAGATATTAATTGAAACGAAGGATGAAATGGTTTCTACAATAAGAATTCTAACTGAAGATAACGAGATATACATAGAAAAATACAAAGACGCACAAAAGCAGCTATTTCTGATGCAAAGCAACACCTCTAACAAACAGGAGCAAAATCAGCAAGAAATCCAACAAAAATATAAATATAACTCTGTGCGAAAAAATATAGAGCTGGCAGAAAAAAACACAAAAGAAATAACTGAAGCAGAGAAAAATAATATGCTTATTGTTGGAGATGGCTCTGTGAATAACCTTTACAAATTCTTGGAAAGGCATCAAAACCTAGAAAACTACAATATCATTACATTTGTAAAAAATAACGCTCGACTAGAAGAAATCACTGCGGATATTTGCGAACTAACAAAAGGGTTCAATTTAAACGACTTTGTTATTGTTGGTGGAGGTTTACAAAATGCAAAGGATGGAGCTAAGATAGACGCGACAGTATTTAACCGTTTACAAGAGGTTGGAGTTAAGACGAATTTAATTATTTTTTCTATTCCTTTGTGGCAAAACAGATTAATTCTGAACAGGTTCATTGATCAAACAAATATTAGGCTTTTTGATTTTACTAAAAATAATAAAAAAGCATGTACTCTTATTAACTTAAACTCATTTTTGAATTCATCCTCCTTTACTTTTTACCAAAATAATCCTAAAAGCTTTGCAAAAATTAAAATCGCAGAAAAAGTCTCTACACTTATAGGTATTCATTTTTTAGACCCAAGAGCGACGCAAATACTTTAACAATACAAAATTACAAAACTAAAAATAAGCTTTCACTTTTCCTGTTGAATATACAGTCTGCGCGAAATAAATTGGACGAATTATTTGTATTGCTTGAGGAACTAGGTATGCCATCTCTTGTTCTATTAACAGAACACTGGTTAAAGGAGGATGAAGTCTGTTTCATTCCGCAATATAATGTGATGTCAAAATATTGTCGTGAAAATGGTTATGGGGGAACAATGATTCTGGCACATGAAAATTTTGGCGAAAATTTTCAAATTACTCATATAGACGAATATTTCTCACATATTAAACCAAACGAATTCGAATTTTGTGTAATTCACATTAAAAAACTAAACGTTCACGTTATCTGTGTTTATCGACCACCCTCGGGAAACCCACTAGAGTTTTTAAATTCACTAGAACTTCTGTTGTCACAATTTTCTCTTTCATCCAAAATAATATTAGCAGGCGACTTGAACATCGATTTTGAAGATAAAGATTCAAGTTACACAAAATCACTGGTGGACTTACTTACCTGTTTCAATCTAAAGGTCTTTGTGAATGAGCCTACCAGACAAACGAGCCATTCTCACACAATCCTAGATTATGTTTGTAGCAACATCGAAGAGAGTGATGTATCATGTACGGTTCTCGCTTCAGGAATGTCTGATCACGAAGCAATTGCTGCAGATATAGTTTTGGAATCGGAGGGAAACAAAAGAGTGAAAAAGACGAGTAGGGTATTCAGTTCTAATAATTTTGCATTATTTAGAAACATGGCTGAAAATATTGTTTGGGGAAATATACCACTTTCCGATGAACCGATTAAAACTTTTCAGAAAACCGTAGAACATATTTTTAACTTAAGTTTTCCCCTTCGCAACTTAAAAACTAAATGTAAAAAATTATGGATAACAAAGGGTTTAAGAGTATGCGGAAAAAATCTTCGATCGTTACATACTATGAAGAAATTTGTTAACTCAGATTGGTTCAACATCTATTTTCGGTTATATCGAAAAATTTACAAACGAACTATTCAGGCAGCAAAAAAACAACACTACAAACAGCGAGTAGACAACGCAAAAAACTCAGTTAAGGAGTATTGGTCGATTATAAATGAACTGCGTGGAAAGATACCAAAGCGATTCATTGATATAAATATCAACGCCGAAAACCTTAACAATTATTACTGCAGTATTGCCCAAAAACTCACAGGAGAACTTAAATCAAACAGGGATCCCCTGCATTTTATGCCCCGAAATTCATCCTCGGATAGGTTCTTATTGTTGCCAACCAATAAAACCGAAGTAGTGACAGTGATAAGAAATATTAAAAAGGACTATTCTTCTGGAATAGATAACTTATCACTAAAAATATTCAAAAACCTCCCAGATGATGCCCTTAGTGCACTTACAGAGTGCATAAACTACTCCTTTGTTACCGGTGTCTTTCCTGACTGTCTAAAATTGGCAATAATTGTACCAATTTTTAAGGGCGGTGATACCGATGACCCCTCAAATTATCGTCCCATCTCACTGCTAAATACACTTTCGAAAATTATTGAAAGAATTGTTAAGACTAGGCTGATTGAATACTTGGGCAGAAATAAAATACTCGACTCGTCGCAGTTTGGTTTTCAAGAGAGAAAAGGTACCAATGATGCTATTTTCTCTTTTCTGGAAAAACTTTATTTGAGTTTGAATGATGGTGAGAGGGCCGCAGCGGTGTTTTGTGACTTTTCTAAGGCGTTCGATTGTGTCGATCACCAAATACTGCTGCGGAAATTGAGCCATTATGGAATCAGGGGTAGGGAGTTGGAGTGGTTTAGGTCTTACCTAACTGGGAGAAGCCAATTTGTAAGATTGAATCAAAAGAACAATTCAGAACTCACCAATTTAACGCATGGCGTCCCACAAGGGTCTGTGCTTGGACCGCTCCTCTTCCTGCTTTACGTAAATGATCTGGCTTCTTTGGCGATTTCCGGATTTTTTACCATCTTTGCGGACGATACAACAATTTTGTGGAAACACAGGGATGCTTCAGTTCTAGCGCGCATTATAGAACAAGACCTGGGTATCGTAAAGGAGTGGTGTGACTGTAACCGGTTGGTATTCAATGTGTCAAAAACAAATATTCTTTCGTTTAAGTGCAACTTGGAGAGTGTAACACTTAATGAAAGCGTATTGGAGAACAAGAGCTTCGTTAAATTCCTTGGTTTTCATATAGATACTAATTTAAAATTTGAACACCATATCCAAACAATGAACAAAAAAGTTTCGCAAGCTTGCTATATTGTAAAAAGCATACGGCAGGAACTAGGCAAACATATGGCAAGAAACACCTATTATGCATTGATAGATTCCCAAATCAGATATGGAATCGCATTCTGGGGCTATGCAACTTTAAGAAATGTGCAATCTGTTTTTGTCTTGCAAAAAAGAGCCGTGAGGTATATTTGCCAAGTTGACTGTAGGCAGAGCTGTAAACCACTTTTTATACAAGAAAGTATTTTGACAGTACCAAGCATATTTGTTTTGGAAACAGCGTGTCTTGTGTTTAAGAGATTTCAAGGTTTTGAAAGAAATTCCTTGCATAATTTGCGAAACAATAACTTACCTTTGCCAATCCCAAAATCTGGCTTAACAAGAAATTCTATTATTTACGAAAGTATCAAAATATTTAATTATTTGCCGAACCAAATTAAATGCCAAAACAATTATCAAGGGTTTCGTAAATCTCTCAAGGAATTCCTAATTGAAAAGGCATACTACAGTCTTGAAGAATTTTATCAGTAAAATTTAGTATTTTTATTATAACAATCTTTTGTATCATTGTTCCCTCATACATAATAAAATTGTCAATTCTGAAAGGTCCCAAATACCTAGTTGTTTTTTTGTTTTAGCATTTATTTATTTTTATATTGTTTTAAAGTGTTAACAAGGTTTCAAATATGTATATTTTTTTTTTATTTTGTTTTTCTTCTTTGTTTGTGTAGGAATTTTTATATATTTTAACTATTTTTGTAGTATTTTATCCCAGTTACTTTACTGAAATTATAAGAAATTTATTATTTATTATTATTTTTTATGTTTTTTTGATGTGTTTTTGATAATGTTGTTTCTGCTTTCTTCTATGTGCTTGTGATATTAACATTTCAGTCTATTTTATGTCGTTATATTTTGATCTCTTGAAGTGATAGATAGGTACCTACTCAACTTGAAAAATCAATTGGGTATTAGTTTAATTATTAATTTGAATATTATTAACTGTGATAAAAATTAAAATGTGTGTATAGTTTAAGAATCGCTTTGTCAATGGTTTTTATAAAATTTAGACAATAAAGCATTATTGAATTGAATTGAATTGAATGCCAAACAGAATAATTTAAAAATATTTATGAAAAAATGTGAAAGTAGCCTAATAGGTCTGTTCGCACAGAAATCATAAACCAGTCATAGTGAATTTCATTGGTTGAAACTAATGGCGTATCCGATTGGTAGATTTAGTGCGGAACTAGTGCAATTTTTTCTATTTCTTTTTTTTTCTTCCACAGGTCGATTAAAAGGATGCAAATACACTCAGTGCGCACTGAATTTACCAATCGGAAACGCCATAAATGATGAACCAGTCAGAGTGAATTTCATTGGTTGAAACTAGTTTTCTGGCTGTTTTCAACCAATGAAATTCGCTCTGCCTGTTTTGGATTTCTGTGCAAACAGACCTTCATATAGCTTGGGATTTGGGAACCATTTTAAAAACTTAAATTTGATAGTATCAAGGATGAAAAAGAAAAATAAATCATTGGGGCAGAAAATAATAAATGGCATTCGAACTAAGATAAGAATCCCCTACAGGGAATTAGCATTTCATGATTCTTTAGTTGGAATTGTCAGGAAGAGAGGTTTTACTTACAAAGCCAAAAAGAAGTTTTTGGTGTTATAATCCTCTGGTTGAAAATCTGCTCTCATAAAGAACTGAAAAACTACTACAAGATGGTATTTATCACATATGGCTCCACACACGTCTCTCTTCAGTAAGTGAACAACAAGAGGTTCATCTGCAATAATGAGAATATAATAGAATAGTATTTTAGAGTCGCTTTTCAACAAATTAAGTTGATTATTTTTACCTAATAGTTTAACGAAACACTCAACGTGGCTTTTAAATTCCATTTCTTGGATTCTGATTTTGTTTTTTCACTGGTTTTATGTGGTCTTTCTATGGTTTTTTTTGTTCAAGTATGAAAGACTCTTTATCCATTTAATTTTATTATTCAAAAATTCAAAACAAAAACAAAAAAGGGATCCCCTACTCCTGTGTTTATCACCTGAATATGGCGTTTTCTATTGGCTATGCCAGTGCTGCACTCACATGGAACTGACAACCACAGATCAGCCGAAAATATACTCTAGAGTAGAGGCGTCCCAATGAAAATTGTGCGTTTGGAATTTGAAGAACAAGTTCATGAATCATTATAGGAAATCTTCATATTCACTGCTGCTCGATAAAAATGATAAAAACTCCTCCAGAGCTCGTTCCAATAAAATTGCAATTGAAGCAAAAATCGTTGCCCTAAAGGCCCATCCTCAATCAATCTGGTAGCGAAGTGGCACTTCAGCACGCATGCTAGGATAATGTTGTTTAACGTTGGCATCCTCAATTTAATTCCGTGCTAGCATGCACGCCGACTCCGACGTGCAAGCTTGCTAGCAATGAACTTTGCAAGCTTCGATGCGTGCCGACATGTGTCACGCGCAGTACTATAAAAAACAATGAACTATAGTCAAAAACTGGAATGTGCACACATTGCCATATCTGCCAAAAAAATGTAGCCATGAAAGACAGATGCCACAAAGGGGAATGTTGTTTTTTTCTGTTGCTCGCTGACATATGACGTTTTGGAAAGTTTTGTCATATTTACCTTCACAGGTTTCATCAATTGGAATACGTGTTGGAAGCAATTTCCGCCATTTAACATAATGAGTGCGACAAAAACAGGTATCCCCTCCGCAGCAGCGGCACTAGGCTTCACGTTCGTCAATATGTGTTCGCATTCCAGTTTTTGGTTATAGTTCATTGATAAAAAATAATTCAGGTTATCCTTGCGTTCGGTGTTTTGCTCGAAGAGCAGAGCGGAGCTGTAATCACGTGACCAGCGAGCGCACAGAGCAGTTGAACGCTGTATCAGAGGGCTCGAAATTTTAATAAACGAACGTGAATGAGCCTGCACCGAGTACACTTTTTAAATAAACGAACGGTAAATTTATGCTCGGAGAACTCAGATCAAAATACCGCACGCACAGTTCGTGACCGCACTACACACAGAGCAGACTGAAAATTGACAGCATTGAGGATGGGTATCAAATTCCCAGCACGCGTGCCGAAGTGCCACTTCGCTACCAGATTGATTGAGGATGTAGCTTTACTTTCCAATAGTCCTTTTCACGTGGTCCGGTTTAGGGCGGGTATTATAAAACTGCTTTGACAGTTAACTTGAAGTTAACTTCTAGAATTACATGTAATTCAAAAAGTTAACTTTAAGTTAACTGTCAAAGCAGTTTTATAATACCCACCCTTAAACTAACCGGGTTACAAAACGGTTAGTAGCGGTATGTCAAGTATGACATACCGTTTTCTAACCCGGTTACAAAGTGAAGTGTTCGATACCACTCGAATTTGAGCGGTATGTTGCAGTTTGTTAAACCGGAGCCACGTGTAAAGGGTTATTGAAAACAAACATATGCACTGGCTTTACCAATTAAGTTTGAAATTGTTTAGAAGCCGCGTTCATTAGGCTGTTTGTTATCCTCCACTAGTGCACAAGAATCTACACTTTTCTGCACTGAGGCGTTTGTTATACGGTTAGTGCAAATAGTGTAAGGCGTTTGTTATTTCAGTGTAGGGTGCCCAATCTTGCACTACCTACACCTGCTCAAGAGGAGGTGTAACAAGTGCAGAATGGGAAGGGGGCAATAATATTTAAAAACTGCTTCAATGCAGCTGTCTTCAGGGTTGGAAGATAGGGAATCGCAATCTTCCTCTATAATTTCCGACAATAAAACCTTGTAAATTTTGTTTTTTTCATTAATATTACAAATTTTTTTCTCGGTTAGTTTCCACTTTAATCTACCTACTTGAATAATAATATTTTGAGGTTAGAGAATTATCCGCTCCTACCGCTGCACGAACTGCACTAACGCGTTTGGTAGTTTCCCTCTGGTGATCATCAGCTGCACTGACCTATCCTACACGTAAATAACAAACAGACCTTTTGAGAGTCACAAGCTCAGGACTAATTTCCAAAGAAACGCCTTTTTAAATCTAAGTGCTCTGTGTTTGTGATATTCGCATGGAGGGAAATACACGTTTTAAAATGAACACACCGCCTAAAAGATTCGATTCAGTCTGAGTTGCTCGGAGTCATTGGTAAATTTCAGAGCCGCTTTCCAGTATGTGACGCCCGGAGCTACTCGGGGCGTTGAGCTCCCGAGCTGTACGTACGCGTCAACCTATCAACTGTCACATCCGTGGGTGGCTATTTATCTATTTATTTCTTGTTATATCTCAAGATTGAACATTTTAAAATATATAGTTTTGATTCTCTTTCATTTTTGATAAATAAAAAAACAAACTGCACAAAAAACAGATAATTATTTTTGACATTAAGACAGGCGTCTCACGCCATGATACTGGAACCGTACAAATCTAGTGCGTGGCGCCCCCGAGGTGCTCTAGAGCGCGCCAATGTGCATACTGGAAAGCGGCACAGGGTGTCAACACTTTGATTTTATCAGCCCCCGGATTTTATTTTACGAGTCGAGTCGAATTGTCTCGATATCGAATACGACAGCTTCGGACTTACCCGTGTAATAGGTATTGATAAATCGGAAAATAGAATCGCATTTTGAAAATTCGATACCAATTTCGACTCGAGTCGTGAAATAGAATTATTATTATTTACAGTTTTCGGAGGGACCCCTAAATATACCGGTTCTTGTTCCTTCAACGGTGTCATTAGCTACTTGCGCCACCGGTCGTAAATTAGAATATTAAATATAAATTTATAGTACGGGATACGAGGCCTATTTCATCAAATCATTTTACACCGTCTTGCATTGTTATCATAAGTTAGATAACATGGTACTGAAACGCACTTGTACAGGGAAATAGATGGGAGTGGGGGATTTCGCTGAAAAAAAATTTTCAGAAAATGTCGTCATAAACGAGGAAAATATATAATTATACACCGTCTTGCATTTATTTATTGAGTTAATTTCTACACAAACAAAATCGGATTAACACATGCAAGACGTTTTCATGGGGGCTTTGGGGTTGCAATAGAAGATGGAAATTGTCAATTTGTAAAAGGGGTGAAAAATCATTTTACACCACTCCATTGTTGATTTAGATTAAAGCTTGAATGTAGAATAGCTACTGGATACTGATACAAGACGTCCTATTGAGGGATAACGGGCTGCAAGACGGATGTCAATGTGTTGTCTCATGAGAGAGTGAAAAATTATTTTACACCACTTCATGCTTATGTCCGCCGGAAGAATATATGTTAAGAAATGGTAATACATCAGTCCAGTGGCGGCTCGTATATTAAAAATGTGGGGGTTGCAATTTCAATTGTACAATCATGCATGTTTTTCGTGAAGGTCCAGAATAAATGTCCTGGTGAAAGTCCTTTTTTTGCTAGTTACAGTTTGTTCAATTTTTAAATTTGGAGTAGGCCTTCCAAGTCTTTTTATTTCAGCCTTATTGGTTGATGAACGCCCACAGAATGCCTCGGCAATTAAATTTTGAACAGAATTCTTTTTTTTTTCACCCCCACACGACAAAACATCACTAATCTGCGCTGCGAGCAAAAAAAATAAACAAAGTTTGTACTTAGCTTGCAACCTGCTGGAGCTTATGGAGCGGATTTCGAATCCACGCAAAGACAGGCAACCAAATGTGCGCCGTCATATAATAGATCGGTTTGCTTTGGAGCTGCAATCCAGCGACTCGACGCCGCTACTCGAAGTCGCCGGCGGCCTGTCAGTTATTGATATTTTGGCGAAGTTGGTCAAATTATTTTATTAATTGACTGCGTATTATGTAGGTCCCAAATTTTGGTATAATTTATTTTTTAAATATAATTAGGTAGGTACTTAAATTTAGTTCTACTATTTTTGTTTTATATTGTTTAAGTTTTGTTTTGGGGGTTGCGCAAACCTGCAAACCTAAGGAAGAGCCGCCACTGCATCAGTCCAAGACGTTTTTTCGGGGAAAAAAGTGAATAAATCCGTTTTCTTTTTTAACTGAACTGTTGAGTTATTTACTGAACCGTTCACTGTTCATTCTTTTCTAAATCATACAGATGGAAAAGGACAATTGACATAGCAGCTCAACAGGGGAGTCTGCTGAATACAGGAATTATAATTTCTGTTTACAATTCCAGACAGATCATTTTTGTTGTGTCATTTTTTCGCAGCTTTGAAATCAAATTTCTCAAATTTACCTAATACTTACAATCCGTTATGTTTTATGGCATATCCACCTCAAAAAAAAAAAAAATAATTAATATAAGTCGTCAGAAAAAGAACAATTTTCAACCTTTTTTTATTTGGTGTCCGTAGAGTTAAAATATACATATTATTAAGAGAATTTTGCAAAATAGAATTATTATATGTGGTAAAGAGCAAAAATATTTAAAATAAATGTGTGTAATTTGTAACTTGGAGTAGTATTCAACTTTGTATCTGATGGATTGACCCCCGTAAAAATTAGTCAACTTCATCACCGTCTTGCAGTCTTTTCCTTCCATTTAGAACGTCTTGTATTTTTAAAAATGTTATCAATGTGTTCTGTTTTTCCCATTAGTACCAGTGCAAGACGGTGTAAAATGATTTCTCACTTCTTCATAAGACAACACATTGACCTCCGTCTTGCAGCCCGTTATCCCTCCACAGGAGGTCTTGCATCAGTATCCAGTGACTTTTCTACATTCAAGCTTTAATCTAAATCAACAATGAAGTGGTGTGAAATGATATTTCACCCCTCTGAAAAATTGACAATTTTTATCTAATATAACAACCCCAAAACCTCCATGAAAATGTCTTGCATGTGTTAATCCAATTTTGTTTGTGTACAAATTAACTGAATAAATAAATGCAAGACACGGTGTATAATTATATATTTTCCTTATTTATGACGACATTTTCTGAAATATTTTTTTCAGCGAAATTCCTCACTCCCATCTATTTCCCTGCACAAGTGCGTTTCAGCATCATGTTATCTAACTGATGATAACAATGCAAGACGGTGTAAAATGATTTGATGAAATAGACCTCGTATCCCGTACTATTATGATGAAAAATTTAGGCAAATGGGAAAAATGCAAACGAGATCTAGGATCTAGGTAAAGTCCGTCGATTTTAATCTGGTAGTCCAAAAGAATGTGAGCTGGTGGCTCCTTACATTAGAACGCCATTGGTCACATGAGCTGCTATTTCCAGTGCCTAAATTGTTAGAGTATCAGGGTGGGGATTCTCATCCTCTAGTCGCAACCTATCGTCCCGACTTACCCGGAGAAAGGCAATAAGGGCATTCCAACAAAAAAAATCAGTCAGGGCACACAATTCAATTCTGTCATACAAGTGTCACACAATCGAACACGCGTCATTTTATTATACATTTTTTAATATAATAGTTGGTCAGTTGCTCCTAAAGTATTAATAAACGATAATAAGTACTAAAATGTGTTTTTTTTTTAAAGATAAAGGTCAAAATGACATTATGTTGGCAATACAATGTAAAATTGTCAATGTTTTCAAATTTTTTATGTAGAAAAGGCTTGTGTTGCCAACATATAGCGTTTTCCATTTGTCGAACCAGTGCAAAAAAAATGTATCCATATCCTTACATGTTACATGCTTTTAGAAAAAGATGGGGATACACTCAGTGCGCACTGAATGACAAATGGAAAACGCTTTTAGTTACTAAATTTTTGACTTGGGGAATTATCTTTAAAAAAAAAACAGACTTTAATATAAAGTTTGTTTGTTGGCTCCTGGAGTGTGACGCTCTTGAACTGGTGGAGGATTCTCATCCTCTAGTCGCAACCTATCGTCCCGACTATCCCACTGCCTTTCTACGGGTGAGTCGGAACGATAGGTTGCGACTAGAGGACACTAGAGGATGAGAATCCCCACCCTGTTCGACATAAGCAGCACTGAACGCTCTCGTCTACCCCACCATTTCGAACTTCAGGCGCATGGGACATCGAAATAAATGTTGGTGCACGAGGGGGCAGGGGATAACAGAAATGAGTAGTTCAAGTGTATGACACTCTTAGCACTGGAACGCGCAAAAGTGCGCGCAAAGCAATTGTGGAGTACTCCTGAGATGCTCAGGAGTAACTCAAATGGGTCACTGGAAAGCACCTCTGATGTCACACCTGTTTCTGCCATAAGCTTCACCCCTTTGAATATAAAACTACAGGAAGGAGCGTTTTCTATATGTCACTACAGACAACGCAGGGACGGAAACGGCCATTTTGAGCCTCCAAGTATGGACTCATCATTTGTTTTGTTGGTTCGCTTCTCATTCAAGTGGATGTTTAATGGATTTTTCCTACGACTGCCTCTGAAAATGGAGTTTTTCGCACCGTAGGCAACCTCTGAAATTAGAGTTTTTCACACGCTTCAAGTTTTCTAACAAATGAAAATTACATATTTGGTTGTTTTATTTTGCAGTTGTAGGAAAAGCATTGTAAAAAACTCGTTTGAAAACCTTTTTTCACACTTGCTCGACTTGTGGAGCTCGCCTACGGCTCGGTCCAACAAACTGTCTCGCCGTGCGAAAAATGTCGTTTTCAAAACTTGTTGTTTAAATAACTATTAGCGGTTTTAAGTGATGATAAGTACTGGAATTAGTGAGAAAAGAGTGAGTCATAATATTGACAATCATATTTAAATAAATATACGCCACTGCCAAACCGGAAATACTAGTCGGCCATATGCAACCTCCACATATTTTGGTCGCGCAGATTCGAAGTTATGCTCCTTCCTGTAGTTTTATATTCAAAGCTTCACCCCGACGCGCCTGAGAGGGCGAATTCTCATGAGCGTAAGTTGACATGTCTGGCGTAATCACATGATAAAATGGTTGGGTTTTATTGGTAAAATATTCGCCATATTGGAGATTTTACCAATCAAATTACACCATATTATTATCACGTGATTACGCCAGAAATCTCAACTTACGCTCATGAGAATTCGCCCTCATACGGAAAGTATCAGATTAAAATCGACGGACAATATAAAAGGATTATTATTCAGAATGTTTATAATAAAATCAAGTAGTATTCACAAAGCAAAAGCTGGGGAATGATAGGCTGAGGTGCAAAAGCAAACACTCTAATAAAAAAAATACGTAAAGGCGACAAAGCATATTAGCATATTGCCGTACGCTGATACGTCATCACTGGTACTTTCGCATGGTGGGGTGGTAGGCTAGAGATTTCAACTACATGAGCGTTATGAGGATAGGCTTTTTTATTGTGTAGTGTGTAATATCCTTGCTACAAAGCTATTCTTGACCAATCAAAAACGTCCACACGCCCTATATTTCCCATATCCACCGACGCGGCGCCACCAGCATAGCATGCAAACTGAAACACCCTCTTTTCTTCATACTCCAAACTACTCCAGAGTGGACGTTCCGATTGGTTAGTGTCATCACTGCCATGTCAATGTCAGTCAGTGTCGAAAAAACAACAACAGAACACGAACACAAATCAAAAAACTCCACAAAACACTACAAGATTCGCTGGTCGCTCTTTTTCAATTCCCAAATAATTTAGCCGAAAACCAGATGTTGAGCGGCTTCTGAACTGTTCCAGTAAAAAGGCGAAAATGAGATTTCTAGGCATATCGTTTGTTAGTTTCCTTTTGACTGCTCTTGTGGTGGCAAATGCCTACTACCAGAAAAAACAGTTTTATCCCTCTGTGGTTTACATCACAAAATCTAATCCTAGTATGGCTGTAAGTATATTTTTTACTTTGTATATTTGGTATTTAAGTAGCCTCAAAGCTGAGTTCAAAGCACTCAAGTCAGAATGATCATGCAAACACCCAAAAGATTAGATTGAGTAATCAGTCATTGAAGACAAAAAAACAAATAAGGGGATCCTACAACAGTTTCTGTTTTTCTCAACTTTGGGGCAGGGTTTTTAATATTTGCTGGTTGACAACATTGATCAAACTCGAGGTTTTCAGGCCTAGTTAAGTTTGAGAAATATATATTTTTAGGTAATTTATATACAAGCGTTTATTGGAGTATGGATAATGGGAAAGCTAATGAGGAAGATATTTTTCGGACAGTTACGCTCAACAGAATTTGAGGTAAGGGCGCAGCTAATGCAATAATGTATCAAATCTAGGTATATTCTATTGTTGAATGAGCAATGACAATAAGAAAACTTAAATAGACAATCATTTTGTAATTGATAATTTAAACATCCTTAGTAAAGAACAATTTTGACAAAACAAAACTTAGTACCTACCTACCTAATGTAGCAGTTACACATTTCACAACAGGTGATGGAAATAGAAATATCTAGAAAAAAAAAACATTACTTTTTGAAATTTCCATGTACAAGATACAAACAAGGGTTAAAATAGACGATTTCTTGCTTATTCTGAAATTTCCTATGTTGAGAGTTGACACATCTATTCATTATTGTTATTGTTAGTTAGCAATAGCTATGATTCTATGAATCACGCATTCAATTACTTTACATTTTTGCAGCATTTAATGGAAAGATCTTGGTACGCAATTACAGAAACATGTTTAGCGTTTACTGTATTCCGAGACGATTTCACACCAAAATTTGTGGCTCTCTTTACGCTTTTGCTATTTTTGAAATCCTTCCACTGGCTGGCAGAAGATAGAGTGGACTATGTGAGTAAGAATATTGTCAAATAGTTATTTATGCAACAAGTGAGATACTTTCACTATACAGTACAGGGTGGTCGAATTTTGACCTACTTCAAGTTATTCTGGACATCCTGTATATTAATAGCTCATTGAAAATCTGCTTTTGCTGATTTCAATGATATCAAGTTCGACATATCTGTTTTTGTCTTAAGAAACAAATATGTTAGAAAAGGATTTTAATCTCTAAATAAAATGAGAAAGGTCTCTTTCTAACACAGGTTGTATATATTTCAGACTTAAAACAGAGTTTCATAGCGTTATCAAAATCTTAAATCTAGGTTACAATCAATTACAATTACAATTATTAAAATACTATATCACTATTGTTTCTTATGACCAAAACAGATATTTTTTTACAGTATTGTTCAAAATCGAGAAACGCCCTCTAGCGGTCTATACCAGTGAAGATTTAATGAAATTTTAGCCTCAGATTGGGGTTTCATTTTATAGTATCTAGTATCTCACTCAGAAATTGAATCACCCTGTACCTACACATTACATTGTATAGATCACCCTCTGGAAGCATCTAGGTGTCATTTGAGAAATTTATTATTTAGGCAACTCGTTAGCGCGCGTAGCAAATGGACGTGTTTAAAACTTTGCTTCATATTTTTGCGATCTCTAGCTGTGTTGATCCGAATTACTAAATTCTTATTTAACCATGGAATTAAATAGTTATTGTAGGGAGAAATCCACGAGGAAAAAAACTGAAGAAGAGTTTACTGAACCAGATAATGAGCCAGGCATTTCTAGAATAGATAGCATTAATTTCAGCCATGCCAATATAAATAAAATTATTGGAGTCAATATAAAAGACCCCAAACAACCAAAAACATATTTAAATAATCCCAAGCAAAAAAAGACCCAAGAAAACAATGGTCCCATTATGAATATAAATGATAACAGAAGCCGAAATTGTAGGCCTCTGCCTGATAAATATGTTGGTGCGTCTAAGGAGAGTTTTAGCACGCTTGACTCTAATTTGGATAATGATAACTCGATATTTAAACCAAAAAATTGTTTTTTACGCACACCACCCCAGAATATTGAAACATACAATGAGAAGCAGAATGAAGCTAACAATGTTGAAAATGAGATAGTAGAAGAACTTTCCAATATTAGCTCTCAGAAAAGATCTGGTTCGAGTCCTGCAACAATGGAGAACAGAAGCAAAATAAGGAAGACCAATTTGGATTATTTGGAACCTGTTACAAGTAACAAAGCAGAAGTCATTACATATGGACATTATGTTCTGAACAACACAGAAATAATTCTAAACGAAATACTAGATGCCCTCCACAGAATACATAAAAATATTGAATTAATTCCACGAAACGAAGCCAAAAACACCAGCTCTGACTTGTTTATAGTACATTAACATGTAACAAACTTAGCATTTAAAATAAACCAAACGGAGAAAACAAACTTGGAACTCAAAAATAAAATCAGAGAATTATCGAAAATGCTTCCCGGAATAGCGATTTTCATTCACCCCAACCATCTCAAACATCATATAGTAATGTAGTGAAAATTGCACCAGCGGGTAACAATCCAACATCAAGCGCAAAAGTTACTGATTGCAAGTCTCCTCCATTGCAAAACCTGAAGCATAATTGTTAGGCTTAAAGAAAATAATGATTCTAGAATAGTTCACGCATAACTATTCTAGAATTAAAGAAAATCTTAAAGCAAATAATGTTGATGAACATTTTAAAAGAATCAAACCTTTACAGAGTGGAAGTGTCATAATAGAATGTCAAGATGCCTCTCAACAGAAAAAGTTGAAGGAGACCCTTGAAAATGCTAAAAAAAATGTGTCAGTGAAAATATTTTCAATTTGAATCCAATGATAACAGGAGTTTTTCACAGACATACACCAGGAACATTCATCAATGAATTTGTTGCTAAAGTGTGTTTTTTTTTTAAAGATAAAAGTCAAAATGACATTATGTTGGCAATACAATGTAAAATTGTCAATGCTTTCAAATTTTTTATGTAGAAAAGGCTTGTGTTGCCAACATAGTTACTAAATTTTTGACTTGGGGAATTATCTTTAAAAAAAAACCACACTTTAATAATCCTGATATTCTAGACACCTTTGGTGAAAATGTACAGGACCAGTTTAAATATGTGACAAAAAGAGACTGCAGAAACAGCACAAAAGAAAATTGAATATTTCAGACTCCTCCAGCTTTATTTAGGTGGCGCATTAGAAATAATAACCTGGTATTCAATCTTTACCCTGCGTATGTCCAGGAGTATACAAATGTAGCAATGTGTTTCAAGTGTTGTTTATTTAACCATGTTGCAAAGACTACTCGGCCAATGATTGTTGTCATAAATGTGGTGGTGTCCATAATAGTAGTCAGTGTACTGCAGATGCTCATAATTGTCCTAATTATAAGAGGTCAAACTTGCCCCAAGGAAATCATTCCGCCCAAAATCGTCGTGTCCTGTATACATGCAAAGAATCAGAAGACTTCAGCAACAAACAAATTACTTAAGCCCCGAAATTTTTTTAACAGAGAGGTGAACGATAATGGGCAACAGAGTGCAGTTAATGATAAGGTTTTTACCGAAGAAGAAATAGCTTGCACAATTTTTTTCACTCAGTGATATTAACAGAAAATGAATATGATGTAATTGCTCTAAGCGAAACATGGTTGACTAACAGTGTGTTTGATAGTGAATTGTTTCCAGGGTCCTTTACCATTTTAAAATGTTGAAACAGGGAAGATAATATGTGTGGTGGTGGTGTCTTACTGGCAGTCAAAAAAACCTACAAAACTTGCATATTGAATTTATCTATTGGAAGATGGCGTCCGATGATGACATTGAGTCAGATTCGGCTAGCGTAAATAGCGTTATTAGTGCCAAAGATAGTGTTAGAAAATACAAATGTTGTGCTAAAAAGTCGTGCAAGTCCTATTTTTGTGTTGTGTGTGAAGAAGTTTACCATGGTAGCTGTGCAAGAAGGAAAAACTTAAAGTTTATCAGCAAGTCCGGTGTCCAGTGCTGTGATTGCAGTGATTTGCCGCCAAAAGTTGACTTATCAGATGTAAACAAAGATGTTTCCTCAAAACTAAAATATGAAAACGACAAATTAAATACTGAAATGAGTCTACTAAAAAGGCTTATCGATGAAATGGCCGATAAGAACACAGTTTTGAAGGAAAATAACCGTCTTTTGGTGGAACGTATCTCTAACCTAGAAAAAGAACGTAAACAAAGCCAAAGTGTAACTGTAAGCCGCGATCCTGCAGGCGGGCGTTCTACCAGTTCTACTTACTCGACCTCTGGCCCTGGTGTAACCCAAGAGCGTTCGGTGACTCCAAACCCGAACAAGACTGGTGACACTTGCGCCGGGACCCGGGGCGAGACCTTAACCTCTAACGACAATGTAAACAATGGCCATAGTAGTAAAATTGTTGAAACTGTTTCGCTGACAAACGCGAATCAGGCAATTAATAATGCAATTATAAGCAATATGAATCATGCTGGAGACAACGATGGTTTTTCTACAGTTAGTTACCATCGTGGTAGAAGGAAACAGTTTCGTGGTACCTCAAAGGTTGAAATAAATCAAGAATTTATATCTTCAAAAGGAAACAAGATGTGGTTTTACGTCGGAAAGGTGGCCCAGTCAGTGGAAGCTGCTAAAATTCGCAGGTACATAACTCAAAAACTGCCAAATATTAGTGAGGAAAACTTAATTATTGATCAGCTTAAAACTATAGGGAAAACCAATTCTTTCAAAATTGGTGTCATTCCCATTCACTACAATGCTATGAACTCCTGCGAATTCTGGCCTAGTGGTGTGATCTTTCGTAGATTCAACTTCAAGAAAAAACTTGACACATCAAAAAATGACCCTGGTGCTGATTTTCATTCGTCCCAGAATTTTCAGAATCTAGCCGTCAATCAGGAGGTATTTGCAAACTAAATAGTTCTGTATCAGTCTACTATCAGAACGTGCGTGGTTTGCGTACTAAATTGGTAAAACTAATCAGTTCCATTCCTTTAGTTGCATACCAAGTACTCGTTTTTACAGAAACGTGGTTGAGTGATAACTTTCTTGATGTAGAACTGGGCATGGACAATTACAATATTTACAGAAGTGACCGAACTCCAGCAACAAGCACATCCTTAAGGGGGGGAGGTGTATTAATAGCTGTCCGGAATAACATTCTCAGTTCCATTTGTGAATCAGCCTCAACCATTGAGCAGTTATTTGTAAGAGTGCAGTCTGCTAATAGTAAACTATTGCTTGGAGCTGTATACCTACCTCCGAAATCTAATGGAGATAATTATAAGTGTTTTTCAGACTCAGTAGATACTTTATCTGAAACATTTCCTGATTACAAGCTCTGCATATTTGGGGATTTTAACTTACCCAAAGCACAATGGGTTGATGACGGCCTGAGCTCAAGTGCTACTGCAACCCCCTCCGCTATTCCCTCAGAGCGCGCAGCTACTGAGTACCTATCCAACATGAGTGCTTACCATAACATGTTTCAAATAAACAAGTTCCACAATGCGCATGGCTCTCTGTTAGACCTGATGTTTAGTCAGGATCCTGATGACACCTGCACCTTGGCAGATGACATCCTTCTCCCTATTGATTCATATCACCCTGCATTAATATTAAACATATTATGTGCCGAGACCCAGCAGTGTAACTCAGACTACCCGCAACCTGATGAGTACTACTATGATTTTAAATCTGCCGAGTATGCACTTCTCAATGATCATCTAAGTATGATCAACTGGGATGCTTTACTCCAAGGCCCAACTGTAGCAGAAATGGTCAGTATTTTTTATGACATTCTTTACACTGCTATTGACTGCTTTGTACCAAAGAAAAAGCTTTCCACCCATAAATTTCCTAAATGGTTCCCCTTCGACCTAAAGGAACTCATAATCAAGAAGAAAGAAGCACACAGAACCTGGAAGCGGACTGACTC